CACAAACCACAGGTGGAATGAATATTGATATGAGAGAATCTAGAATCTGTAAGGTCCTGGAAGTACAGAGGAGTTTTATGAGTTGGCACAAAATGTTGATTGCACAGTATTCAGAGTATGGGCCTGCTTCTTATACCTTTGAAGAAAATTGAACATGATAATGGCATAAAAGCCTCTGGGTAGAGTCAATGCATCTGTTCAGTCTTCAGTGAAGAGGGGGATTTGTTTAAACAACATGCAAGTCTGCCTGATTTGATTAACCTTTCAGTGAGTGTTTTTCCAAAACCTGCCAAGAAATACTTAAAAACGCCAGGAGCTGTCTACAGCCAACTGGCCTGCATAGTTGCTGAGCACTGACTTGAAGACTCAAAGGAAATTACATATGAAGATTTAATAAAAAGATAAAGCAAATCAACTTGTTAGGTTGATTAGATTATAAAATTATTTCTCATAAGAAAGGAAGTCTCAGTCCTGTTGTTTGGTCTGACTCAAGATTTAGTAGAAGTATAATGTAGACCACATATGTAATTTTATATTTCTAGTAGCCACAATAAGAAAGCTCTTAGATTTTAGTTTCTACAGTTTAATATCTCTGAAGTGTTATTTCATTTATAAGTAATATTTTTTAAAAATTTAAAAATATTTTAGATTTCACACCATTTATAGTTCAAAAAGCAGATTTGCACACCCAAGTTATTTTAAGTGTAGGGTGTTTTTTTTTTTTTTTTTAGTTAATGTTAACTATGATTAGCAGTTGAGCCCTTCTTCCACACCAGGCATATTTCCACTGCATGGTGAGCTGGTGTGGCTGGTCTCCACCCTCTCACTTTGCAAATGGGTGGGAGAAACATGGAAGCCACTAAAGAAGGCACACTTGGTATTGGAACAAGCCCAGGACCATATCATACCTCTGCGTAGAAAAGTACGAGACTTTGAATCCAGATGGCAGAACAGAAGGACATGGAACTCACCTCCTCCCACAAATACATCTACACATGGACCAGTTTTCACTATACCTCCTGGTGGGAAAGCTCAGGCACCAAGGAGCACAAGAAAGATGATGTAACACAGTAGGATGAAAAGGGGGATGAAAAGGGGAGAAGGACAGGCCTGGTGCCACTGTGAAGAAGCTCTGATCAAGGAAAGGTTCCAGCCCCTGGAAAGGCCCTCTCCCAAGGGGAGACCACCCAGGACAGAGAGGGGGTCTTCAGAGACTCGGAGGAGCACATAGCAGGCAGAGCAGAGAGCCCAGGAGAGAGGCTCTGTGCTACCTGTACATTGTCTCCAGCCTGAGATGCATGCCTGCTGGTTCATGCAGGACAGATCCCGGGGATAGGACTTTGGTTGGCTGCGTGAAGAACCTGAAAGCCTGGAGTGGGGCATGGCCACAACCTGGGAGGCATGGAAGACGACTTGGCCATCGTAGAAGCAAAGCACTGATGTTAAGGGTCGTGTGAAGGGCAGAGCGGGACCCCCATCAGCTTCTTCCTCATTCACCCAGCACAGCACCACTCCACGAGACTTGGAGCACTCTGGCACCAGCAGGGCCCTCACCTACTGAGGCAAAGCTGAAATCATCCTCCCCATGGCTGTGCCGTGAACCGATTTCTACCACCGCCTCTAGCTCTGTCCACTTGGTGCCTTCAGGACACACGAGTGGACAGTGGGGGCTCCCTGGCTGGGACAGGTCTGGCCTGGGCAGCTGTGGGATTTGTGGGAGTACACAGGGGCCGGGCCAGGCCTGAGCTGCTCCCCGCTTCCATGGCAGGTCCAGGTGCACAACTACTGATTTCAGAGGATCTGCACTGGTGGCTTTGTGAACACAGCACCTGAGAGCCGCCAAGGCTGCCTGCCTGCACCCCCACAAAGGATGGGGTCCCAAGCAGACCTACACCAAGACAGAGGGTCATAAAAATGTCAGAAGTGAAAGAGATGTCTAAAGGAAGTAAGAGGAAAACAAAGGATTCATTACAAGAGAACCCCCACAAGGCTGCCAGTGGATTCCTCTCCAAAATCATTGCAAGTTAGAAGGGAGTGGCCAGATAAATTTGAAGTCCTGAAAGGGAAAACCCTGCAGCCTACTATACTCTACTGAGGAGGACTATCATTTAGAAGAAAAGGAGAGGAAATTTCTCAGATATGATGCCAGAAGATGAGCCCCCCAGGTCGGAATGGTGTCCAATATGCCACTGGAGAAGAATAGAGGGCAATTACTAATAACTCCAGAAAAATGAAGACTGGGCCAAAGCGGAAATGATGCTCCATTGACGATGTGTCTGGTGGTGAAAGTAAATTCTTATACTGTAGAGAACATTACTACAAAGGATTCTTAGATGTTAGATGTTAGATCCATGAATAAAGGAAAATTGGAAGTGGTCAAGCAGGAGATGGAAACATTGAACATTAACATCTTAGGAATCAGTGAACTAAAATAGACTGGAATGGGTGAAGTTTAATTCAGATGACCATTATATCTACTACAGTGGGCAAGAATCCCTTAGAAAAAGTGGAGTAGCCCTCATAGTCGACAAAAGAGTCTGAAATGCAGTACATGGATACAATCTCAAAAATGACGGAATGATCTCTGTTTGTTTCCAAGGCAAACCATTCAGTATCACAGTAACCCAAGTCTGTGCCCCAATCACTAATACTGAAGAAGCTCTAGCTGAACAGTTCTATGAAGACCTACAAGACCTTCTAGAACTAACACCCAAAAGACCTGTCATTTTCATCTTTTGGGACTGGAATGCAAAAGTAGGAAGTCAAAAGATACCTGGAGTAACAGGCAAGTTTGGCCTTGGAGTACAGAATGAAGCAGGGCAAAGTCTAGCAGAGTTTTGCCAAGAGATCACACCTATCATAGCAAACATGCTCTTCCAACAATGCAAGAGACGATTTACATGGACATCACCAGATGGTCAATATCAAAATCATATTGATTACATTCTTTGCAGCCAAAGATGGAGAAGCTCCATACAGTCAGCAAAAACAATGGTGGCTCACTTCTTGAACTCCTCATTGCCAAGTTCAGACTTCAGTTGAAGATAGTAGGGAAAAACAACTAGACTATTTATGTATGACCTTAATCAAATCCTTTATGATTATACAGTGGAAGTGACAAATATATTCAAGGGATTAGATCTGATAGAGTGCCTGAAGATCTGTGGACAGAGGTTCATGACACTGTACTGGAGGTGTTTATCAAAGTGATCCCCAAGGAAAAGGAACATAAAAAGGTAAAATGGTTGTCTGAAGAGGCCTTACAAATAGCAGAGAATAGAGAAACGAAAGGCAAAGGAGAAAAGGAAAGATATACCCATCTGAATGCAGAGTTCGAAAGAATAGCAAGGAGAGATAAGAAAGCCTTCCTCAGTGATGAATGCTAGGGAATAGAGGAAAACAGTAGAATAAGAAAGACTAGAGATCTCTTCAAGAAAATTAGATATACCAAGGGAACATTTCATGCAAAGATGGCACAGTAAAAATTAGACCTTAAAGAAGCAGAAGATATTAAGAAGAGGTGGCAAGAATACACTGAAGAACTATACAAAAAAAGATCTTCATGACCCAGATAACCACGATGCTCTGATCACTCACCTAGAGCCAGACGTCCTGGAATGGGAAGTCAAGAGGGCCTTAGGAAGCATCACTACGAACAAAGCTAGTAGAAGTGATGGAATTCCCGCTGAGCTATTTCCAGTCTTAAAAGACGATGTTGTGAAAGTGCATCACTCAATATGCCAACAAATTTGGAAAACTCAGCAGTGGCAACAGGACTGGAAAAGGTCAATTTTCAATCCAAACACAAATAAAGGCAATGACAAAAAAAAATGCTCAAAATATTGCACAATTGCACTCATCTCACACACTAGTAAAGTAATGCTCAAAATTCTCCAAGCCAGACTTCAACAGTACGTGAACCATGAACTTCCAGATGCTCAGTCTGAATTTAGAAATGGCAGAGGAACCAGAGATCAAATTGCCAACATCCACTGGGTCACAGAAAATGCAAGAGAGTTCCAGAAAAACATGTGCTTCTGCTTTATTGACTACACCAAACCCTTTGACTCTGTGGGTCACAACAAACTGTGGAAAATTCTTAAGGTGATGGGAATAGCAGACCACAATACCTGCCTCCTGAGAAGTCTTTATGCAGGTCAAGAGACAATAGTTACAACCTAACATGGAACAACTGACATTTCCCAATTTGGGAAAGTAGTACACAAAGGCTGTATATTGTCACCCTCTTCATTTAACTTAATATAAGATTACATCATCCAAAATGCTGAGCTGGATAAAGCACAAGCTAGAATCAAGATTACTGGGAGAAATGTCAATAACTTCAGATATGCAGATGACACCACCTTTATAGCAGAGGGTTAAAAGGAACTAAAGAGCCTCTCTTTTGATGAAAGTGAAAGAGGAGAGTGAAAAAGCTGTCTTAAAACTCAACATTAAAAAACTGAGATCATGGCATCTGGCCCCATCACTTCATGGTAAACAGATGGGGGAACAATGGAAATGGTGAGAGACTTTATTTTTTAGGCTCCAAAAGCACTGCAGATGATGACTGCAGCCATGAAATGCAAAGATGCTTGCTCCTTGGAAGAAAAGATATGAGCAACCTAGACAGCATATTAAAAAACAGACATTGCTTTGCCAACAAAGGTCCATCTAGTCAAAGCTATGGTTTTTCAAGTAGTCATGTATGGATGTGAGAGTTGGACCATAAAGAAAGATCAACACCAAAGCATTGATGGTCTTTATCTGGGGTGTTGGAGAAGACTCTTAAGAGTCGCTTGGACAGCAAGGAGATCCAACCAGTCTATCCTAAAGGAAATCAGTCCTGAACATTCATTGGAAGGGCTGATGCTGAAGCTCTAATACTTAAGCCACCTGATGCTAAGAACTAATTCATTGGAAAAGACCCTGATGCTGGGAAAGATAAAAGGCAGGAGGAGAAGGGGATGACAGAGAATGAAATTGTTGGATGGCATCACTAACTTGATGGACATGAGTTTGAGCAAGCTCTGGGAGTAGTTGATGAACAGGGAAGCCTGATGTCCATAGAGTTGCAAAGAGTCAGACTTGACTGAGCAGCTGAACTGATCTGGCAAGTGAACTGTGTGTGTGTGCTCAGTTGCTCAGTCTTGTCCAACCCTCTGTGGCCCCATGGACTGCAGCCCACCAGGCTCCTCTGTTCATGGGATTTCCCAGGCAAGAATACTGGAGTGGGGTGCCATTTCCTACTTCAGGGCATCTTTCCGACAGAGGGATGATACCCACGTCTCTTGTCTCTCTTGCGTTCGCAGGCAAGACTGAAGTGGAGGAAACACTCCTAAAGACACTCTATGAAGCCACCATCACCCTGATACCAAAATCAAAGACACTACAAAGAAAATTATAGGCCAATGTTTTTGATGAATATGTTCTTGTTGTTTGATTCATCTTTGACAAAAATAGATGCAAAAATTCTCAACAAATTAGCAAACCAAATCCAACAAGACATAAAAGGGATCCTACACAATGACCAATTCAGATAAATCCCAGGATTGCAAGGATGGTTCAACATATGCAAAATTAATGTCATATATCACATCAACAAAACAAAAGACAAAAACCAAGATCATGTGATCTCTCAGTAGATACAAAAAATGCCTTTGCAAAAATTCAGCATCCATTCATGATTAAAAAATAAAAAACTTACAAATGTGGGTATAGAGGGGCTGTATCTCAACATGATAACTTTTTTATGGCAAATCCACAGCTAGTATAATACTCAACAGGGAAAAGCATAAAGTCTTCCCCCTAAAATCTGTAACAGAGATAGAACTCCCACCACTTCTATTCAACATAGTATTGCAAGACATAGCCACAGTAATAAGGCAAGAAATAAGGGTATCTAAATTAGAGGGAAGTGGTGAAACTGTCATGATATGCAGAGGACATGATACTATATATAGAAAACCCTAAAGACTCCACCCAAAAACTACTAGAATGGAGAAATGAATTCAGCAAGGTAGCAGGATACAAGGTTAACATACAGAAATTGGTTGCATTTCTTACACTGAAAATGAAATATGCAAAAGGGAATGTTTAAGAAAAAACAACTCTTTTTTATAAGTTGCATCCATCACCCAAAATAAAAGACTTAGGAATAAAGCTGATAAAGAAAGTGAAAGAATTATACACTGAGAACTATAAAATATTAATAAAGGATCCCTTTGTTGTTCAGTTCAAATTATCACCAACATTGTTAATTGGCTATATCCCAATACAAAATAAAAGGTTTACAAAAATAAAAGGACTAAAAAAATATTAATAAAGGAAACTGAAGATGGCTAAAAGAAAGTGGAAAGATATCCCATGCTCTTGGACTGAAAGAACAAGTGTTAAAATGGCCATACTACTCAAAGCAAGTGATAAATTTAATGCAATCCATAACAAATTATGCATGACATTTTTCACAGCTAGAATAATCCTAAAATCTACAGACGTAAACACCCGGAAGTGCCAAAATAATTTTGAAGAAAAAGAACAAAGCAGGAGCCTTAACCCACCCAGACTTCAGATAATACTACAAAGCTACAGTAATCAAAAAAGCTTGGTATTGGCACAAAAACAGACATACAGATCAATGGAATAGAACAGAGAGCCCAGAAGTAAATCCACACACCTACAGTCTACAAAAAAATACAATGAGAAGAAAAGAGTTTCTTCATCAAGTGGTTTTGGGAAATCTGGAGAGTTGCATATAAATCAATCAAATTAAAACAAACCCTCTCACTGAACACAAAGTCAGTCTCAAAATGCCTTAAAAACTTAACATGTGACACCATGAAACTCTTGCAGGAGAACACTGACAAAACAGTCTCTGACATCAATCATACCAGTGTTTTCAGGTCAGTCTCCAAAGACAGCAGAAATAAAAACAAAAATAAACAAATGGGACCCATTCAAACTTGTGCACTGTTAGTGGAAATGTAAGGGAGGTTTAAGAGGGAGGGGACATGTGTATACTTATGGCTGATTCGTGTTGATGTGTGGCAGAAACCAACACAATATTGTAAAGTAATTATCCTACAATTTAAAAAATAAAAGAAAAAAATGGTACAACCACTGTAGACAACATTATAACACTTCCTAAAAAATTTTAAACTAGAATTACCATATGATCCAGCAATTCTATTGCAGATATACCCCAAAGATCTGGAAGCAAGGTCTCCGTGAGATATGTTTGCACCCGAGTCTGTAGAGTCATTATTCACAATAAATAAAAATTGGAAGCAAAGCAAGTGTACACCCACTGATAGACAAACAAAAGTGGCCTATACATACACCAGAATATGATTCAGCCTTAAAAAATAAGGAAATTCTGACACCTGCTATGTTGTGGGTGAACCTCCAGAATGTAAGGCTAAGTGAAATACACCAGTCACAAGAGGGCAAATGCTGTCAGACTCTGCTAATGTAATGGGTCTGGAATGGTCAGTTCCACAGAGGCACAAAATGTATGATGAGGCCAGGGGCTAGGGAGGACGAAGGGGAACCAGTGTTTAATGGGGGAAGAGTTTGGAAAAATGGAAAGTCCTGGAGATGGGTGGTGGGTAAGACCACACAACAACCTGAAAGGACCTAATGTCACTTAAGCAGACACTTAAAAGTAGTTAATGTGGGAAGCTTGTATGTGTGCTTCATGACTTTTAACAAAAGAGATAAAGGAGACAATGCTAGTTAAGCCAGCAAGTGGGGAAGAGATTGGGAAGGAAGATGCTATTGTTAGTTTCTTCTTCCTCAAGATAGTCATTGAGTGCTCTTAAACCAAGTTTTCAAAACCTCAAATTCACACATCATTAAATTATAACCAAGTTCTTTTAATCAAAGAGCTAACACCTATCTTACTCAAACTCTTCCAGAAAATTGCAGAAGAAGGTAAACTTCCAAACTCATTCTATGAGGCCAACATCACCCTAATTCCAAAACCAGACAAAGATGCCACAAAAAAAGAAAACTACAGGCCAATATCACTGATAAACATAGATGCAAAAATCCTTAACAAAATTCTAGCAAACAGAATCCAACAACATATTAAAAAAATCATACATCATGACCAAGTGGGCTTTATCCCAGGAATGCAAGGATTCTTTAATATCCGCAAATCAAACAATGTAATACACCACATTAACAAATTGAAAGATAAAAACCATATGATTATCTCAATAGATGCAGAAAAAGCCTTTGACAAAATTCAACATCGATTTATGATTAAAACTCTTCAGAAAGCAGGAATAGAAGGAACATACCTCAACATAATAAAAGCTATATATGACAAACCCACAGCAAGCATCACCCTCAATGGTGAAAAATTGAAAGCATTTCCCCTGAAATCAGGAACAAGACAAGGGTGCCCACTCTCACCACTACTATTCAACATAGTTTTGGAAGTGTTGGCCACAGCAATCAGAGCAGAAAAAGAAGTAAAAGGAATCCAGATAGGAAAAGAAGAAGTGAAACTCTCGCTGTTTGCAGATGACATGATCCTCTACATAGAAAACCCTAAAGACTATACCAGAAAACTTCTAGAGCTAATCAACGAATACAATAAAGTTGCAGGATATAAAATTAACACACAGAAATCTCTTGCATTCCTATACACTAACAATGAGAAAACAGAAAGAGAAATTAAGGAAACAATACCATTCACCATTGCAACAAAAAGAATAAAATACTTAGGAGTATATCTACCTAAAGAAACAAAGGACCTATACATAGAAAACTATAAAACACTGATGAAAGAAATCAAAGAGGACACAAACAGATGGAGAAATATAGCGTGTTCATGGATTGGAAGAATCAATATTGTCAAAATGGCTATACTACCCAAAGCAATCTATAGATTCAATGCAATCCCTATCAAAATACCAACGGTATTTTTGACAGAACTAGAACAAATAATTTCACAATTTGTATGGAAATACAAAAAACCTCGAATAGCCAAAGTAATCTAGACAAAGAAGAATGGAACTGGAGGAATCAACCTGCCTGACTTCAGACTATACTACAAAGCCACAGTCATCAAGACAGTATGGTACCAGCACAAAGACAGAAATATAGATCAATGGAACAGAATACAAAGCCCAGAGATAAATCCACGAACCTATGGCCACCTTATCTTCGACAAAGGAGGCAAGGATATACAATGGAAAAAAGACAACCTCTTTAACAAGTGGTGCTGGGAAAACTGGTCAACCACCTGTAAAAGAATGAAACTAGAACACTTTCTAACACCATACTCAAAAATAAACTCAAAATGGATTAAAGATCTAAATGTAAGACCAGAAACTGTAAAACTCTTAGAGGAGAACATAGGCAAAACACTCTCCGACATAACTCACAGCAGGATCCTCTATGACCCACATCCCAGAATTTTAGAAATAAAAGCAAAAATAAACAAATGGGACCTAATGAAACTTAAAAGCTTTTTCACAACAAAGGAAACTATAAGCAAGGTGAAAAGACAGCCCTCAGATTGGGGGAAAATAATAGCAAACGAAGCAACAGACAAAGGAGTAATCTCAAAAATATACAAGCAACTCCTCCAGCTCAACTCCAGAAAAATAAATGACCCAATCAAAGAATGGGCCAAAGAACTAAACAGACATTTCTCCAAGGAAGACATACAGATGGCTAACAAACACATGAAAAGATGCTCAACATCACTCATTATCAGAGAAATGCAAATCAAAACCATAATGAGGTACCATTATATGCCAGTCAGGATGGCTGCTATCCAAAAGTCTACAAGCAATAAATGCTGGAGAGGGTGTGGAGAAAAGGGAACCCTCTTACACTGTTGGTGGGAATGCAAGTTAGTACAGCCACTATGGAAAACAGTGTGGAGATTTCTTAAAAAGCTGGAAATAGAACTGCCATATGACCCAGCAATCCCACTTCTGGGCATACACACCGAGGAAACCAGATCTGAGAGAGACACGTGCACCCCAATGTTCATTGCAGCACTGTTTATAATAGCCAGGACATGGAAGCAACCTAGATGCCCATCAGCAGACCAACGGAGGAAGCTGCGGTACATATACACCATGGA